CACATGGGTGTGTCCTACGTGGGGGTGTGGTTTATTGCCACATGGGTGTGTCCTACGTGGGGGTGTGGTTTATTGCCACATGGGTGTGTCCTACGTGGGGGTGTGGTTTATTGCCACATGGGTGTGTCCTAAGTTGGGGTGTGGCCAGCTCCTGTTTTTCTCTGGTTCCAGCGGCTGTACCGGGCAGGAGATTCGGATGCCCTACATAGATACACATTACCTGTCGACCACCCGGACTTCATCAGGGCACGGATGAACGCCCAGCACGTCAGTGAGGTGAGGTCCACATGACTCGCACCCGCCTGACTGAGTGACATACAGCCAGCTGACCTGCCCGTCTGGCTGCTGCTTGCAGAAAGCCTACAGGACGTCTGGGGAGCAGGTGCGCTCAGGCGGCTATGACCTGAGGCTGGATGCCATTCCCTTCCAGACTGCGAAAGCATCCAGAGAGATCGCCAGTGACGTAAGTCTGTCTCTCCCACTGTGTTACAGCATCTCAGCCTGTATCCCCTACAGGCTTCCCAGACCAATTTGCTGTTGGCCTGCACTGATATATCTGCCACTTGGCTGCTTGGTGTTGGGTCCCCTGAGCAAGGCTGCAGTGTGAATCTGAGGGGTTCCCTTCCTCTCTGATATCAGGACTCACTACGCAGCAGGGGGAATTCCAGTAGCTCAGAATAACTGGGAGAAGAAACACAGAACAAGAGCAAAACTTCATCTTCTATCTGGTTGTTTGCGAGTTAGAGTTTTGTGCCCACTTCCAAAAGGTCACTGGATCCAATCCCATGGTCGGCAGAGTAATCATATCACTGCCAGGCCTTTGAGTGAGGCCCTCGGCCTCAAAACTGCCCCACTCTGACATATGCCTTTCTGTCTCATATGGGAGCAAGTTGGATATAAGTGAAGATCAAAGCTGTCCGGGTGCAAATGGCCAGTGAATCACTGTGTCTCGTGTTAGGAAGAGCAGGTCTGTGATGGGGGAGGGACAGGCTCTCAGGCCATGTGTTTGCCATCCCTCAGTTCCGCTACAAGGAGGCATTCGTAAAGGAGAAGGGCCACCAGGTGGGGGCCCTCTGCGTGGAGGACGACCCCCGCATCAAGCACTCACTGGCCGTCAGCAAACTCCAAAGCAGCCACCAGTACAAGAAGCAGTCGCAGGAGAGCCGCTCGCAGTACCGGCTGCACGCCGACCAGCCCGAGTTCCTGCAGGCACGGCGCAGCCAGGCGCAGGCCAGTAACCGTGGTTACCGGCAGCACCTGCACAGCTACACCTGTGACCCCGAGCAGCTGGCCCTGAAGCACGCCAAGCGGGCCTATGGCCTGCAGAGTGACGTGAGTGGCCCCGCCCACACCGAGAGATACACCGCCGACACACTAACAACACAGCCCCATCAGTCACCATTGTGAGGGTCCTACAGAACCAGTCCCCAGTTCTAACCCCCCTCCCTTTCTCTGCTTCCTTCTCCTTCCTTGGGAGAAATGACCTCATAATGAAAGGATTTTTGATTTCTTTTCTCAGCTGAACTATAAATCAGACCTGAACTGGATTCGAGGTGTTGGCTGGACCCCCCCCGGCTCCCACAAGGTGGAGATGGCCCGGCGGGCTGCTGAGCTGGGATTGGCTGAGGGGCTGGACCCTGAACAGGCCATCGCCCAGTATCAGCAGATGATGGTGAGGGGCAGGCCAGCTAGCCAATATGGCCGCACTATTGAGATATAGATCTCCACTCTTCTTTTTCTCCCTACTTTCAGTGCCCTTGCTCCGCCACCCTTTACTCCATCTTCCTTCTGTCTTCTTCTCTGTTCTATCATTCGTTCTCGCTTGGTCTTTGTGTAAATCTTCTGTTTTACAGAGGGCGCTTTTCCACCACATCACATACCATAATTTCGGTACTGTACTTCTGGTACTTGACCTTTTCCATTGACTTCCGGTCGAGTACCATGACAGAGTAAAGTTGTTTTAGTGAAATTTAATTCCCCTGTGCTATAATGCTCGTACCGAATTGAAGGTTTGAAAAGGCCTGATCTTAATCTAGCTGATTAGTGATGTGAGAATTGCATGTGCATAACACGCAATGTTATTATTAATATCGCACATCGTCCCGCCATATAATAAACTTCAGCCATTCTTTGAATTCAGTACAAAATACCCCGGCTCGTGCTGTGATGTCATTCAGCGATGGTAGCAGTTTGTACATCAGTAGAAAACCAAGACCCTGAAGTACCAAAAATTTGTTACCTGGTTTGGTGGAAAAGTGACCAGACTGCTCATGCTGTGAGCTGCTATCAGTGTCATACACAAAACCTGAATGAGATTCCTTGGGACCCTGAGCACCCCTCAATACCGGAGCAGCACTGAAGGCCTGAGCTCCAGCAGGTCGCTGGTTCTTCGCTGGTTCTTATCAGTTTCAGATCAGTGTCTCTCTCACCATGCTGCAGCAGCAGGTGGCAGTGGTGGAGAACACAGGGGAGCTCCAGCAACCGGCCATAAACCCTGATGCCATGGAGGTCCTTCACGTAAAGAGGATGAAGACCATCCATATGGTGAAGAAGACCGCCAAGTAGATCACCCTCCGCTCCCCACTCACAGCCATCTTTGCTTTTGTAACATCACCATTTGTATCCCTGAGTGTTTACAGTGAGTCCTGTTCGGGAATAATCAGTGTGTCTAAGATATTTTAGCTTCCAAGGAAAGGATTGGGACTGAGGGCTTGCAGAATGTGGTCAGAGCTGATGGTCGTGGCTGGCATGAAGACTGGGAAGCAGGATGAAGGGGGAGGTTTTAGGGCAGGTCAGTGGTCAGCTGGTGGATTTCTGTGTGTGAGATCCATGTTCAGCTTCCAGCAGTTCATTGCAGAACAGGCTCATCTGTCAGGTGTGTGCTGTAACCTCACTGGGATTTGCTTTAGGTTTCTGCTAATAAAGTCTTTTGCAGCAAAACTCTGTCTTTTCAAGCAGTGTGATATTCAGGGATTTATTTCACGTATATACACCCCCCACGCCACCCCCCGCAGTTAAAGATGAGCTCTTGATCACTTTGTAGCATGATAACACAGCGTCAGAGTGAGTCCTAACCAGGCTGCTCATAAACACAAATCTCATTTAACAGCAGGAGGTACACAGCACAGGCAAAAGCAGACTGTGTTGGTATCGCTGAAAAGAGCTGGCTGACTTTAATGGTGATTACTAACTCAGCGTACTCAGGTTACAGGGCGGGTAACTTAGAGCTGATCCAGTCGAGGAAGTGAGTGACCCGGGCGTAGATGCCCGGCTTGTTCCTCAGGCCACAGCTGTCACCCCAGCTGACCACTCCGTACACATAGTGCCGTCCATCACGCTCGCACGTCAGGGGCCCGCCAGAGTCACCCTGCACAGGGATAGAGAGGCACTAGTTATCATGGAGTGTATGACTGTGTAACTATAGAGACACACACACTGTACACACACAGACAGACACGGACCTGGCAGGAGTCCACACCACCCTTCATGTGTCCAGCACAGAGCATGCTGTCATCCAACACGTCCCCATAAACATTCTCCCCCATGCAGCGCTGCTGGGAGATTAGAACCACTCTGGCATGAAGGAGCTGGCTGGAGACATGGGCTGTTATGGAGAAACACAGAGATAAAGAGTGTGACAGAAACACAGAGATATGAGAGTGTAAAAGAAACACAGAGATGCTGAGTGAGAAAAACAGAGATACAGACAGTGAAGGAAACACAGTGATAGAGAGTGTGAGAGAATCACAGGGAAAGAGTGAGAGAAACAGAGTGTGAAAAAACACAAAGATACCAGAGTCTGAAAGAAACACAGGTACAGAGAGTGTGAGAGAAATACAGAGATACAGAGTGTGAGAGAAATAGTTACAGAGCGTGAAAGAAACAGAGAGCGAGAGAAACAAAGAGATACAGAGAATGAGAGAAACAGATAAAGGGAGTGTGAGAGAAACAGAGATATAGAATGTGTGAGACAAATAGAGAAACAGTTAGAAAAACAGAGATACATAGTGTGACAGATATAGAGAATGAAACGCAGAGATAGAGTGAGAGAAACACAGAAACAATATGAGAGAAACAGAGATTCAGAGTGTGAGAGAAACCATCACAGAGTGTGAGAGAAACACAGTGATATAGAGTGTGAGAAACAAAGAAACAGGGAGTGAGACAGACAGTGAAACACTCAGGAACACTCACTGTTCTCTGTGGCTCCCCAGCCTGAGATGGTACACCCCATCCCATCTGGGAAAGCTCTGTCCGGCAGGCAGGCTGTCTTTACAAAGTCTGTCTCGTTGGCACAGTGTCCATGCACATCCTGCAGTCTCAGCAGAGCTGAGCGGTTTGAGGTTAGACTTAGGTCATTGCTACATGCACACTGTGATCACCTCCCCTCCTCATACTAATGAAAGCAAATGCCCAGAGACTCCGAGTCACAGGGATGGAAAAAGCCTTAACTGAGACTGCGGGTGAAGCCTTCATGTAGTATCTGTGAGTAGTTAGTAAGTGGAGTCAGGTGTGAGTGCAACATGAGGCCTTAGTTTGAACAGCAAAACTATCTTGCTTTATAAACATGCAAATGAAACACCTAAACGTGTAAGAAAGACAATCTCACCAATGTCGTTGTATAAGGCACTGGAGGTTTCACGGTACTTCTCATGAATTATAGCCTCTACGACATTCAAGGCCTGGGTGTTGGGATCCTCTCGTTTGATATTCAAAGTCCCCAGCACAACCCTCATGTCATTGTGCTCCTCACTACAAGAGAACACAGATTAACGCAGAGACACTACTGCAAAGGTCTGACCACTGTTCTCAGAGGGCCCAGAGAGCAAGGAAGGCGCACTGGACCACTGGGAGAAGGGCACACTTGCACATAGTGAGGAAGGTGTAGTCGCATGAAGTGAGGAAGGCACACTGGCATGGAGGGAGGAAGGCACACTGGTACACAGTGAGGAAGCCACGCTTGCATGGAGTAAGGAAGGTGCACTGGCATGCACCAAGGAAGGCTCACTTGAATAGAGTGAAGAAGGTGCACTGGCACGAAAGGAGGAAGGTGCACTGGTAGGTCATCAGGAATGCGCACTGGCATACAGTGCGGAATGTGACCTGGCACAGGAGGAAGGAAGGCCCACTGGCACACAGGGAGGAAGGCGCATGGCACATAGTGAGGAAGGCGCAGTGGCATGTAGTGAGAAAGGCACACTGGAGTGCAATGAACAAGGCACACTCACATGCAGTGGGCAGCAGTCAGAACCCAGCAGGAGCGGATGAGGATACCCCCACAGTCGTGGCTGAACTTCTCAAAGGAGCCCTTCTCCCGAACCTGGAATGAGGCCTGCCAAGGGTAGGCACCAGGCAAGGCTTTCCTACCCCCAAGGATCCGGGGGGAGATGCTGCTTTGCTCCCCACAGGTGGAAAAGTCTCCCTCAGGAGGTTTGACGATTATCTTCTTGTCTGAGCTCAACAGACAAACAGCCACATTCAGTCTTATGTGGGTTAATACAGGAGCTTTGGAGATCAGTAAGTTCTGGAGTTGAGTTAGTTCTGGAGATCAGTAAGTTCTGGAGTTGAGTTAGTTCTGAAGGTCAGTAAGTTCTGGAGTTGAGTTAGTTCTGGAGGTCAGTAAGTTCATCAATTTGGTGAGATCAGAACCTAAAGGTTTCAGCCAGTTCTGGATAGTGGCTTAAAATAATGGACTAAGGTGGCTGGGGCTCCTGGGTGCCCCTAAGTGAACACCGAAGATCACACAAACTTTCCTGAAGGGGAACCCCCCCATCCCAGTAGGCCCCCACCTAAAAGTCTCTGCACCGCCCTGCTTCCCTAAGCCAGTTACTGGATTTCACATAAATATTGTCTGTGAGTTACTGAAGGTAAGCTTATTCCTGGCAGCTAAGTTAACTGTATTATTACCTGATAAAGTTACTGACCAGCCCCGAGGTACCTGCCCCAAGGTACCTGTCACGAGTTACCTGCCCCGAGGTACCTGTCACGAGTTACCTGCCCCGAGGTACCTGTCACGAGGTACCTGCCCCGTGGTACATGTCACGAGTTACCTGCCCCGAGGTACCTGTCACGAGTTACCTGCCCCGAGGTACCTGTCACAAAGTACCTGCCCCGAGGTACCTGTCACATTCACCATCCGAGGACATTTCCTGGTATCACAATAGTCCCACATCAGTTTGTTCTTGTCTCTGACATAGCACCAGGGCCGAGAGTCTTCGTCTGGGTTCCTGGGTGGGGGGGGGACGCATGCTTATGGACTCATACAGTATCTGCAACTGCATCCATAAAGTGGATGAAGACAAGTTTTTTTTTCCCCAGCAGAGCCTAAATGCAGGATGGATGCAACCTCCATCTTGCTGCTTTTATCACACCAGGGGGCGCTGTGGGATGCAATGTCACTGGTTTGAATCCCATCCTTGGCAAAATAGTCAGGTTTGCTGGGTCTTCGAGTGAGCCCCTTAAACCCCCCCCAAAGAAATGTTTCAGGGGACCCCAGCTTTGACTCTCAGCTGTATGTGTCTTAAAATAGAGCAAGATGGAATATGTCATATCACAATTATAAAACTGCAGTGTACCTGTACTTTACCAAATGGCAAATAAATTCTCATTTCATTCAGCTACACATCGGACCTGCAGTAGTTGTGGGTTCCAAGGCCATTGTCCCCACTGTACTCATGCAGGGGGTTGTTGTCCTTCACAATGATGAAGTAGGCATTCCAGGGGAGGCAGATATCGCCCTGCTCAGTCTCGCTCACAAAGCCGCGATACGATTCCCCGTTGGCCTCATAGCAATCGTCAGGACCTGGCAACACATAGCCAGAATACCAAAAGCTATTTAGCATCTGTATCATATAACTTACAGTGCCCTCCAGGAACCGGATGAGCGAAATGCTTCTGTAGTTAGCAGATAACTGAAACCACCATGCAGTCAGCAGATTATTGCCACCGGTTAGTGACCAGTGAGTCGTAATGGGAAATGAGAGGGACTGAGGTACAGTGTGCAGACTTACTGACTTCACAGAACTGCCCTGTGAAATTGGCTGGACATTCACAGTGGAAGCTGGTGGTGGAAGTGTCCTTGACACAGGTACCGCCGTTCAAACAGGGGTCAGGATCACAAGGAGAGGCTGAAGAGGGATGAGAGATGTCGAGTTACATCAGAAGGCTTCTGTGTCAGCCACGAGGCACATTCACGGTCACTGATGTTGAGATACGTCAGAAGGTTTCTGTGTCAGCCACGAGGCACGTTCGCGATCGCTGATGTTGAGATACGTCAGAAGGTTTCCGTGTCAGCCACGAGGCACGTTCACGATCGCTGATGTTTCTCACATATTTTGCAGTCTGGAGGCTTATAGGGCACCCTGCAGATACAGGCATAGTATGGGGGGGTGCTGGTGATTACACATTCACCATGAAGACACCTGTGCCGCTTGCACACTTTCTTAACTGAAAAACAGACAGAAAGAAAGACTCAAAAAAGCATTTGAAGTGACCTTCCTTTTGCACAACACATCTGCCTGCGCTGAACCCCTCCCACCGGGACAAAGGCTTCAGCGCCGGAGGTGACACTTACCTCTGTGGCATTTCTTCCCACGGTAAGGCTCTGGACAGACACATTTGAAGCTGCCTCCATCAACCTCACAGACCCCTTTGTTGTCACACGGATTTGGATCGCAAGGGTCTGAGGGAAGAAGAGGAGTGCATGGAGATGAAGAGAACCCACTAAACTAAGTTCCCAATTATGTGAACATCCCCATAACCTTGGCTTTATGAACATGAAGTATTGGCAGGTCCCGGGATACAGACCTGACTTTGCAGATATCATACCACGCAGAGGAAAATTGTGCCATCCAGGTTATCTAAACTACTTCCAGAGACGGAATGGTTTCTTCATGACCTCCCAGTATGATATCTTACCTGACAGGCCGAGTAAGTCATATAGCCAGTCCAAACTGAGATCATCCTCCTCTGTCCCGTCATCGTCATCTTCATACAATAGTTCAGAAATAAAAGCTGTCCCAGGAGAGAGTGAGGTGAGCTTTCCTTCTCCATGAGGGCTTGAGAACACAGCACCTGAGATCAACTGTTTTCCTGAACACATTCTGCTGCTACCTTTGCTGAAGACACTGACATGTGACACCAAGCCTCATGGCACTTTTGCACTGGCATACGAGATCCAAGCTATACAGTGAAGAGAGACTAGTTAAAGTCCAGTTCCAGCTCGCTTGGGTTTTCCACTGCATTTGGGTCGGCTCAGTAAAGGCGCGGTTTGGTGAGCAACAACCAAAGAGGCGCCTATTTGCTGTTCACACGATATACATCATGATTTACTATCTGCTCATTTCTGCTAGCAAGTCTGTGAGAATCCCTATGTTATGTTAGCATCAAACATTAGCAGAATTAGTGAGTAAGTAAGTAAAATTTATGGAGTGCCTTTCACAGGCAAACAGTCACAAAGTTCTGTACAAAACTAATATGCAGAGTAGATAGAAACACAAGAAACGTAACAATTTAAAAATACACATGTGAAAGTACAAAATTTGACAAAACACAACTTCACAAGGTCAGGTTTTCCCAAAAGCCTGAGAAAAACCATGAGATTTAATCTGCCCTTCAAAACCTTCAACAGAGTCTGCAAAATGCAATGATGGAGAAAGATCACTCCACAGCCTTGGAGCCACAACCTGAAACCTCCCATCATCACGCATTTTAAGTCTGATCCGTGGAACACAAATGAGTCCTTGATCAGAGGGCCTTAGAACATGGCCAGCCAAATAGGGACATACCAGTTCCACTAGGAACTGCAGGGCCTGGCTCTGAATGTAAGGACCAATATCTTAGACTGGATTCTGAATTAAACAGGAATCCAATGAAGTGAATGTAATATAACAGTAATATGAGACATCCTTTTTTTTGTTAAAAGCCTAGCTGCTAAATTTTGAACAGTCTGAGGACATGAGATAGCCAACGTGCTAAGACAAGTATAAAGAGAATTACTATAATCTTACCATGACAAAATAAAAGCCTGAACTAATACTTCCAGCTCCTCTGAAGAGAACATAGATCTCAAACTAGGCAAAGCTCTTAACGGAAAAAAGGCACGTGTGAATATGAGAATCAAAACTCAATGACAAAACTCAGAGAAGATTTTGGTGAATGTGGAAGGGATGTAATCTTATTGGAAATCAAAGAATGTAAATCTGGAGGAGCAGAAATTAAAACCTCAGTTTTCTCGGAATTCAGACATAAATGTTTAGCAGCTAACTGTATGTTAACCTATGCCATACAATAGACCAAAGTAGAAAAATTACGGAACTGATTTGACTTAAAAGACCAATAATCTGAATATCAGATTTATTAGAATTAATAATCTGAGCTAAAGGAAGAATATATCGTGAAAATAAGGAAGGCCCTAAGACTGATCCTTGGGGAACTCCAGAGAGTAACGGGCTCAGGCAGGAAAACTCCGCCACAGATACAGAGAATATGCTTAATATGATGTAAAAAAAAAGTCAGAAGCCTTGCCTGAAATACCCTTGTGTCATTTTAACCTATCCGAAACAATGTAACGATCAACTGTATCGAAAACTGCAATTAGGTCTAACATAACTAACACTGAGCATTCCCCAGCATCTGCAGCCATTAATAAATCATATTATGTTTCAGTAGTGTGGCCTTTGAGGGCGTCCGACTCAAAAGGGTCTAAGACATAGTGCTCATCCAAAAATAGCACTCAGCTGCAGATGAACAACCTTTTCTAAAATTTTAGATAAAATGGTAGTTTTGAGAAGTGCCTGAGGGGTCACTGTTACTTTTTAAATAGGGGCTCCATGATAGTATGTATATATACTCCACATACACACGCCCAGACTGCAAAGAAGAGACCAGTAACACATAAAGGCAGAGATGTCGGCCATAGGTCTAGTGAATGAGAAGATTAATTCATGAATCAACAATATGAGCTTGTTGAGAGAGACAGGAGATGAATAATTAAAGCATGACAAACTCAGAGGTACATGACATGATGGCATCGATACAAAAAGAAATAGTAGATTTAATGTCCTTCATCTTTTCTGTAAAGTAATTAAGAAAATCATTACAATCCCTTACAGAGAGGACTGCAGTAGTAGGAGGCAGGAGTCTTTGGGAATGCATCAATGCATTGCGATATGCAATACAATTAATAATGAATAATACTTAGAATATGGCCATTTTATCTTCATGTAATGCATGCTTATCAATGCAGTTCACGTATCTCTGTGCTTTCAACCAATCAGATGGTGGTCACGCAACAATACTTTACAATAGAAAACCAGCAGTTTATGATACATTTTGGATGCACTTTGCTCCGCGGTGCCAGTGGAAAAGCTCAACTAAACCACTCAAAGGACAAACTTACTAGATCTGTGAGCATGAATGGGACAGAAACTCACCAGTGAAGGCACTCAGGTCATCCAAGAGGCTCTGCAAGACAGTTTGATAGTGCATTTTTAAATATGGAATTCAAGTAAACTTGGATGTTATTTTTTTGCCAGAACTTTATTTTTTAAATTGAATAACACAATAAAACTATTTTCTATTAGCTAACCACATTCCACACATCACAGACAAATAAAGGATTCTGCTTCCACACTTTAAACTTTAAAGATATAAACTTTAAATTGCAATCAAGAAAACCCCTCATGATGCAGAAGACACAGATCATCAGCGCGTGTGTGCGGTGATACCTACCGAGGCAGCTACAGGCCACAGGAGCACAGCCCAGGATGTAGCACGTGTGTACAGTGATACATACCGAGGCAGCTAGAGGCCGCAGAAGTACAGCCCAGAACACAGCGTAGTGATACGTACTGCAGGAGCTACAGGCCACACGAGCATAGCCCATGATGTAGCACATGTGTACAGTGATACATACTGAGGCAGCTACAGGCAGCATGGACATAGCCCAGGACCTGGCACGCATGTGAAGTGATATGTAGAGGCAGCTACAGGCCACACGAGCATAGCCCATGATGTAGCACATGTGTACAGTGATACATACTGAGGCAGCTACAGGCAGCATGGACATAGCCCAGGACCTGGCACGCATGTGAAGTGATATGTAGAGGCAGCTACAGGCCACACGAGCACAGGCTAGGACGTGACGTGTGTGTGTGTGGTGATACGTACCAAAGCAGCTACAGGCTGCATAGACACGACCCAAGACGTGGCACATATGTGAGGTGATACGTACTGTAGCAGCTACAGGACACACAGGCACAACCCAGTACGCAGAGTATGTGTGGTGATACGCACTGTGTACCAGCTACAGGTCATATGAGCATGGCCCACTTTGTAGTGCGTGTGTACAGTGATACGGACCAAAGCAGCTACAGGACACACAGGCACAGCCCAGCACGCAGAGCATGTGTGGTGATACGTACCGTAGCAGCTACAGGCCGCACAGGCACAGCCCAGCTCGCAGAGCATGTGTGGTGATACGTACCGTAGCAGCTACAGGCCGCACAGGCACAGCCCAGCTCGCAGAGCATGTGTGGTGATACGTACCGTAGCAGCTACAGGCCGCACAGGCACAGCCCAGCT